TTAATTTACCTAAGATACCTAAAATATATCTAAAAAATGGTGTAAAGATAAGTACAATGAAGCTGCAATGAATGAACCTTTGATGCATTCATCAACTCATTTTGCACACAAAACCAGCCAGAACACTGACTGTACTTACACAGAGAGAGTGTGTGGTTTCCTCCAAACTGTCCTGTAGCTTCTCTAATCCAGATGTGTTTAAAGTTTCCCTTTTGATCGATTATCAGCCAAGCCGTAGAAGGACAGGAGTGCTGCTTCTACTCACCGCGCTCCATCTCTTGATTGAATTTCCATTGTGGTGCAATTGTATCGCCAAGGACTACAGGAGGGAGTGGACACAGGTCACCACACTCAGTAGGGTTCTACTTTCATTGCAGCCTATGGGGCCTCTATCAGCAGCTCTACAAAGGCAGAAAATTGGCAGGTGGTTCACAACAGCTCTCTCGAGCTCCTCTAAACAGAGACACAGTGTGTGATTTTGCTGTCAGCAATAACACATGCACACCCCAATAAGCATAGCTTTTTGTGCACTTGTGATTTTTTTTTTTTTAATGCAAAGGCAAAAATAATAATTTATGTCTGAGCTTATTATTTAAAGCATAAAAAGAAACCATCCAGCAGCTGTCAGGGAAAATTAGATGATAGAAGAATGTTCATTATAGATCTGACTACAGTGACATGTTGAATGAAGGAAACTGGATATCCACTGGAGAGGAATGCATAATTCAGAAAAGGCTAGAGCAGAATGTCCCATGTAACCTGGTCCTTGGTCCACACTCAGCCCTCAGATTACACTCGTGCTTTCAACTGACAGCTGATCACTTTCCTTCACAGCAAACCTGAACTTTTCAATGACATCTGAGTTTCACTGCAATGCGTTCAGAGGGGAAGGGAATGACATTTTATTTGACTTACTTAACTGAACTCATGTGAGAGGTATTTTTAAAATCCACCTTTGCCATGTTTTTAAAACCATCCACAGTGGCTGGACAACGTTTTGGGCCCCTTTCAATTTTTTTCTGCTTTGACTTAAGTTTATTTATTTATTTTTATCACATTTAAATGTTTCAGACCATCAAAATACATATATGAAACAAAGATAACCTGAGTTAGAACAAAAGACATTATTGAAATGATTTCATATGTTGTGGAAGTTACATCATCATACCTCAAACAGATTGAAGTTTGAACAGATTGTGTTTTAGATGCTGTTCTGGGTTCTTTTGCCTTTTTGCTGGGTTCTCTTTAAAATATTTGCATTAGTACAAATAATATGTATTTTTTTCTTTTTTCATTTAGCACAAGTAGCTTTTATTCAACTGTAATCTGACAGGAAGGAGGCTGAGAGAAGTGGAAAGAAAAAAAAGAAAAACATGCAACTAAGGAACCAAGCACATGGCTCGAATTCTGGATGGCTACATTAAAGTTGGTAGGCTGTGCTGCAGGGTGGCTGATCTAACCACTGCGCCCAGCAAAGCAATAATTTTGATGGGCACATTTAATATTTGATTCAGCCTGTGTTTGTCTATATCATATATTATCATACCAAGTGGAAAAAGGACAGGTTCTACGCCAAAGCACAATAAAGTTATTTAAACATTGCTTCACAGAACAGCCAGAGAAACACATTGAAAAAATGATCCAGGTGACTATTTTTAAAGGAGTACGATTATGTATTTTCCAGGCACATAGTGCCACTTCATACCACAGTCAAGCAACTATGTTGCTTTCAGATGTAATGAAAATGCTATATATATATATATATATAATCACAGAATTATTTACAGCATTAAAATTGGCCTCTGTCTTTTTTTAAGAAGCTCATACCATTTCCGACACGTCCCCTTCAGCACATCCTCACAACAATGCTCCTCCAGGATGTCATTTCCAACTGTTTTTGAAGTAGTTAGTATGATGAAGTAGTTAATATGACAGTTCACCATATTCACAGTACCAGATGTTTGCTAACTGCTGTGTGGAGAAAGCATTTGTGAGGCTGGAGGCTGACTGGGAACTGCAGCTCCGAGGAGGCCCTTTGGGTAAATAGGTGGTGCTGTTTAGGAGCAAGTGTTTAAGTACCTTTGAATGGTTGCCACGAAAGACTCAAAGATTTCTCAAACATGGATGAAAGAATCAAAGCAACACTCCAGGTGTGTTTTTGATGAGGGAATAATATAATATGACATAAAACTCAAAAAAGTTGATTTTATGTAATACCGCAAATGTAAATGCTGAATTCACAATTGGTAAAGTCAGTTACTGGAGCTAAATGTGACTGATCTCGAATAAAGAGGAAGGCAAATTCAGAAAAGCTCAATATTAATCAATCAAAACCTGCTGTAGTGAAGATCTGCTGGAACATCACAGGGAAGGAAGCCCATTCTTATGTGATTAGGTTGGTTAATTAAGGACTACTTGAGCAAATGAGGATCATTACGATGTTGTGCATCATTTCAGACATTACTGTCTGAAAGTGTCAAACATCAACAAGATAACTGTGGTTATGTCGTCTGGTCATATTGAAGCCCCTGAAGAGAGAAAACTACAAAAAATATCCTTAATTTAACTACATATGTTGATTTAAATATGTCAATGTGTTAACATTGTCAAAATAAAATATAAAACACTGGATTTTAATGAGATGCCTCTGTTGTACAGAGCTGAAAGACACCCTTGTCTCTGTTAACCCCAAGTGTGCTTGCAGTCCTCCTGCATTTTAAGTCCATAGCTGCTTTTCAGCTCCAACACATTAGCATCACCTACTGTTCATTGTGTGAATGGCAGAAACAATACGAAGAGTACTGCTAAATAATTTAGATAGATGTGGAACTGGGGGAGTGAAAGAGATACTAAGACAGGAAAGTTGAGAAGTGAGTCTAGTTAGTCTGTATTATAGTTGTGACAATACACCATTTTTCACCACCAGCTCTCTGACTTGTGACAGTGAAAAATAGCATGTGTACTGCTCTTAGTTAAAATTAATGATGGTTGAATTTCATTTAGCTGCTGCACTTTTGGTGTCCTGTGTACTTAATATCAGCTAATTTATCACACTCTTGTGTGTTCAACAAGATCTTTTTACATCTGCTTCTCGTGTTTTTTTCAGCTAAGTCAAGTCTGTCTACTCTTCTTTTCAGCAGGTTTCTAAACTCCCACTCACAGAGCTGTTAGTATCTGTTTTACATGTAAAATTCACTTTAAGACTTAAAGCTTGATGGCATGTCCACAAGTACAGCTGAAATATAAAAGAGTAATCTGCATAACCCAACCATTCACGGGCAAGAGACCAAATAATTCATAAAATCAATTTTTAAAGTCAGTTATATGATCAGAAAGTTACAAAAGTTGAGGTTTACAATGGCAAATGCAAAAGCAGTATATCAGTAGATTACAGAAATCCATGAAGAAAGATTATACATATTGTGTCAAAGATTGTGGTCACTTTTATTTGCAGGGCACATTTACTAAGCTGAAAATGTGTGTAAGTTAATAAATAAACAACAAAATAATTCCCAAATAAATAGGCACCATCCCCTCTCCTAAGGTGATGGATGGATGGATGGATGGATGGATGGATGGATGGATGGATGGATGGATGGATGGATGGATGGATGGCCAAATATTAAAGCTTATGTGCAGTACTTGTGGATACAGATAGATGAAGTAACGAGAAATGTCCACCAGATGGCACCACATCTGTGTTACGCCACTGCAGGATCAGGGATAGTAACATTTATTGAAAGAAAAAAAAAAAGAAAGAAGCAATAAATACCAACATACATGACTAACTAAGAGATACATAGACTTAGACACTTATTTTGAAAGAGAATATTAGAATGACTATCTTGTACGACAGACACAGTTGTATCACATATCCATTTTAAACAAAAAAACAAACAAAAAAAAGGTTCAAATGTTGTCTTAGAGAACATTTGAGATTGGACTGGATTATTCAGTTTTGGAATATTATCTGGTACGATATTTGCAAATAAGTTCCCCCGCAGGGTCACAAAATACCACAATTTGAAAAACCCACTGAGCGAGATTTTTGTGAGTCGAACTGTACCAGCTGTATCAAATGATCTTATTTGTCAGGTTACAAAAACATGTTCTACATTTTTGGGGTGATCATTAATGTCTAGCGTCTGGCGAATTGTTTGTGCAATGATAATGATAATGATATATTAAATTATATTTAATATATTTTCATAAAACACTACAAAATAAGTAATAAAAAAAACTCTGAAAATATCTCATTTTCATCTCCAGTACTGTAACAAATCCTACAAGTTTGAACTTGTCTTTGTTCTTGTTTTTCTATGCACGGGTCTTCCAAGGTTAAGAATGTTTGTAGTTTTACTCTTTGACCACAAGATGACAGTGTATTTGTCTATACATTTTTTCCCCCCTGGACAAAAAAAGAAAAGAAAAAGCAAACAAAAACAAACGTTTTCTAATCTTAAACAATATAGAACATTTTTTATTATTATTATTATTATTATTATTATTATTATTATTATTATTATTATTATTATTATTATTAGCAGTAGTAGTAGTAGAAATATCTTTTTAAGCCAATTCTTGCTTAGAGTAGCTTCAAAGCACATTTCTCACCTTCGTCAGTTCATTTTTTTTATTCTTGCTTTTCTTTTTTCTGTGATAATGATACAGCCAGCTACCGATAAGTCATGACTTGACTTGAACTCATTTAGTTCATTAGTACTTAGGCATACAATCACAGTGGGGAAACAGAAAATGCAGCTGTAAAGCACATAAATCACACAAACATGTCGCAGTCTCAGAATAAATGTTCCGTTTTTTTTGTATTTATTTCCATTTAAAATTGCTCAGCAGACCCTGTGTTACCAAGGAGTGCTACCTGATTAGGGTCATGTTGCGTGTGATTGTTGGGGGGGTTGCGCGGAGTGCTCCAGTGTTCTTCTCTGTTGCGGCTGGTTCCTGGTTTAAAGCCCCTGATTGGTCAGAAGGAGTCACGTTGTCCGTGAAGCTGTCAGTCTGATTCTGCACCATTGTTCCCCGAGCAGCCGGAAGAAGTCCCTGTATAAGCACTACTGTATGCGACAGCTGCACCGGTCAGCCCAGTATACTGTGCTGGAAACTGGCTCTAGGTTCACCACTTTCTGCTTAATAAAGGATTCTGCAAGGTAAAACTGGATCATGGTGGAGGAAAAAAAAATTGTGAACTCTCAGAGCTTCATGGGGCGTCAGGCAGGAGGATACTGAAAATTATAACGAAATGAATGGTGAGTATGAACGATTACAGGTGACAGGCCTGCATTTAAACATATTGATATGAGATAAATTAGATTTTTCATCATTTCTTTCTTTTACATCTTTTGTTTGTGGCTTCAAGTATTTTATGTTTTTTTTTTGTTTTTTTTTTTTCTGCTGGTTTGTTACTTTTTGATGCTGCAGGGAACAATTCCTAAGTGGTTCATTTGTCAAGCCATACCAGGCACCACATCTCAGCTGTCACTCTATGGTCATTGCTTCTTATATTTCTCACTCAACAGGCAGACCGTGATATAGCCAAACCAACATGGAATCATTTTAAAGCTTTCTTTTTTCTTTTTTTTTTCTTTTCTTTTTTTTTGTAAGCAGTTTAAGGGCACAAATCTGTAAATTAGGTACTAGAAATAAGAAAGGTGTCTGCATGTGTTGGCAATCCAGGTAAACCTGTTTAATAGACAAATGAAAGATTTTTCAGTATTATGTTTAGTTGAAAATCTTATGTTGATAAATATAATTTTTAACTAAATAAATTATGGCACAAATTTAAGCAATAACAAAGTAACTTATTTAAGATAAAATTAACTCAAAAAGTTTTTTTTTGTTTTTTTGTTATTTGTGTCTTGCATTTTATTAGGACGGATAGATTTTGCCATTATCTTAAATTATATTTAAAATGGGAAAGACAAGAGAACAGACTCTTTCCAAGTTTTCATAACAACCATCAGATGTTAACTCAATGTTTGTTAGGCATCCATAAAAATACCTTTTTTGTCTTGATGTTACAAAAAAGGTAGTTGGCTAAACGGGTGAGAATTGTATTCAACTTTAGAGAAATCAAAAACTCCAGATTAGGTAAGACAAAAGACAAGCATGTTGAAGAAAGGGTGCTTGGTGCTGGGGATCCACGATTCTGTGAGACTGGACTATCTGCCAAAAGTTATACTGCATTGTATCTAAATCATCAACATTTTATAACATACAAAAGAAAACATAAGGGCTTCTTCCACAAAAATGGAAGGCTAATTATTATTTTTTTTTTTTTACATATCTTTAGCTGGGATGCCAAAAAACACAGTCAGCAGTGCATAGCCAGCTGCTCTTTTTATCCAGATTAGAGTAGAAAAAGGGTCTCGTTTGAGACAGAGTGCTGTGTGGAAGAGGATAGGGACACTCTCGGGATACCCCTGCCTCCCCTCCACCTCCATCTCACAAACAGGAATAAAAGCGAAGGCTGGTTCTCATATGGTTAAGAAGATGCTCTGACAATCTTTTGTATGTCAATGCAGAAAAGGCAAAGTTTTCCTAACAAAGCCTCCGTACTGTCATTTGTGATAACAGAGAGCATTACAGCATAATTACGCCGAGTGTCTCTCTACAGCACTTCACATCAGATGCAACAACAAACAGCACAAACCATATTTCCCAGGGCCACAATGTGCATAATCTCTTTATCGACTGCGTAGTTTAAGACTTGCTAAAGGTATTAACAAACACTGTCTGTGTTTCTCTTCTCTGCTCTCCACAGAAGAGAAGTGGGTCGTCGCATTATAACACATTTAGCTAAAGGTAAGATCATATCTTGTTTTTGCTGGTTTGAAAATTATATCATCGACGCTCAAAACCCATTAGCATACCGAATTTATCCCCGCGAGATGGATGGTGTTCAAAGCTCACACAACTGTTGTTGAGATGCCACAAAAGACTGGCTGATAACAGGGACAGGGTGTGATGTTGGAGCAGACAAGTGTTTAGTCAATAAAGACAGCTGTTTCACTGACACAAGAGATGCATCTGATTTCACAAAGATAAAAAGAAAATCCATTTTTTTCTCAACCTTGTGCTAAATATGTGTTTTTTTTTTTGTAAAATAGGCATTGAATTTTAACTGATATCTATTTGGACATTCAGATGAATTTCATTTTTCCCTCTTTTGAATTACATTTTTCAGATGTAATATTAAAACGGTTATCACACAGATCCTTATCTTGCCATGTATGACAGCATAGACATGTTTTATGTGAGTATAGCTGTGATGAAATGAAGCACATGAAGTGTGAGCTGTGGTTATGACGTGTTCCTGTTTTTTATGATGTATTTGGTTGAGATTAAGGGTTTGAAATTGTGTTTTCTGTGTGACGGAGCAGAGTAAGTTGCTTTTACCACGGTGACATAATCACCTGACCACTTCGGGTTTAAAGTTCAGTTCTCTATATAGTCTTTGAGTGCATCCAAGTGGTTAAAGTATGAGTTACATCAGTGAGACAATACCTCTGACTTCAAGCATTCAGCATGGTGAGGTGAGATAATCTTCTTCAGTGCAGACAGAGCATCTGCCTAGGGAAGCATGAGATTAAGGAGCATATTTTCAGAGCAACATTTGAGTAGCACTTGTATCTATTTCATATCTTTGTTGCATTTATGAGTTTTGTTGCTATTGCTGGAATATTTTTCAACATGTCTAAAAAGAAGCCATGGCAGCTAGACCAAATCTCTGTTTTCCACAACCTAAAAACTTCTGAAACCAATATTTATTGTACATAGATGTTAGAAGGGTGCACCATGCAAAGTAGTGATACTATCTACTGTTTTCTATCGCAAATGGCACAACATTTGCTCATCTCATGTTGGTAACAAACCAAAAGTCTCACCAGACATATATGTTTGCGGTTTGGTTAAAATGTGTTTGTTCTTCGTTTAGAATAGTAACGTCACTTGGGTGGACAAGCCAGAAATTTTAATCAAGTAAAATTTGCATTTCTTCAAAAATCATATTTTTGAAGAAATGCAAAAGCAGAAGTAAAAAAAAAGTATGGTGCATTACAAATACTTCTAAAAGTATATATTTTTCATTAAGTTACTCAAGTAAATTTAACCGGGTACTAACCACCTCTGTAAGTTAAATAACATTAAACCATTAAAAACAAGCTACCCAGGTTCCCTACATCTGACAAAATATTGAATAAAGTTACAGAAGAGAAGCAGACTGCAATACAGTTCATGCCACTTGGAGAAAAATTATATATCAGGCAACTTAATTTCCTTTTTACAAAGTATGAAGTAATGAGAAACCGAATTAACTATGTGATGTAAAACATGGATTGGAAATTAATGTCAGAGAAGCAGCAACACCCAACTCCTTCCAGCATTTATAGTTATGAGTAGACTGATAAGTCATGACTGATGATTAATATCTGCTTTTGTTAGTTTGACAGCAAGTACAATTTTATTGCTTATCAGTTGAACCACTGAGAGGCCATTCTATATAAATGATGAAAACTTTTGCTTGTTCTTTGTTTCAGAAATGTTCAAGGAATTATGAACAACAGCTATTCACACACAATCCAAAATTATGCTAACATTTGTTTTGTTTGAAGAGTCCAAATCCAGGTCTTATTAAAATTACAAATACATGAAAAAATATTCAAATGGAAATTATTACACACAATTATATTTGCAAACCCTAAATAATGACTTAAAATAAATCATCTACTGCAAAAGCTAGATATTTTTCTGTAATGTGATAAACCATCTCATAAGAATGTTTTCAAATAACCAATTAATAAATCTATCAGGTGTGCTTATATTCCTTGTTAATGGATGGAAAGTAACTTTAGAACCGTTTTCTTGAAAGTGTATTTTATTTTCATCATCAACTCTTTACACCTTAGTTCCTTTCATGAAAAAAAGACACTTTTCTTGAAAAGCATACAATAATTGAATCCTTTGGATCATAAAATTCTTTTTTTGTGTGATTTGCTTAGTATATAGCGTATATTTTTGTTTTGTTTGTCGTAGAAACCCAGCCCCGGCACGCCATATTGTGCCAGGGGCATTGTGTTTGGTTATCTGTCAACTGCTTCTGTCAGAAAATATGCAGTGCTGCAACTGTATTGCAACAGGAGGTTAAACAATCCTAAAACCCTTTTTCATACCTGTTGTGTGTGTTTTTGGTAGGTGAGTTTTCTCCTTTTCTAAGACTTCCTCTCTCCATCCATTTCTCTCCCCAGTCAGTTTGCACCCAGCCGTCTCCTTCGAGCAGAATTTAATTAGTACATGTGGCACAGAGTTGAAGGACACACTGAAACATTAAGTAGATGTATTTACTCGTGAAAAAGCTGGTCAATTAAGACACTGTCTCATCTGAAGAAGCTGTGCCAGTGTTGCAAACGTCAGCACAGATGGCTTAAGCTTGATACCAGTAAATTTGTCCATTAAAAATTCACAGAGAAGGTGTCATGGCTTAACAGCACGAAGCAGAATCTCACATCAGGAGGCTAATGTGGCTGAGTTGTCTGCACACAAAGCTTCACACGCATGGGTGAATACATTCAGTTTCCTTTGATTAGGGAAATAAGAATCAAGGGGTCTCACCTGCACATAAAGATTTTGAAGGTTTGGAAATCAGACTTTAGGTATTTGTGTTGAAAAGTCGTTTTATGTTTTTGGAAATTAGTGGAGTTTTAGAAAGTAGAATTTACCATGTGCTTTTCAACCTGCAGTTTTGATATTTTAATTAATACATGTTAAAATGCATAACATTCCTTTATATTTTCCTTTTATCGGTACTAGAAAAAAATCCCAACACAATAAAAGTGGATAATTATTTATTTTTATTTTTTAATGTCTGTTGGCTTCAAATATTTAAATAGTTAACCAGTGGAAAAATAAAAGAAAATAACTGATATGCATATTAGGTATTGACATCAAGGTATTTTATGACTGCTTGACTGTACTAAAGCTAAACCAGAATTGTTGCTGTTTGGTGAAACATAAAATGTTATTCACATTCAGATTTATTTGACTCGCTGTCAAGTAGGTAAATTTGGACCCTCTATTGACAAGGGGAGGTATTTTGTATCACTTTATATAGTCATTAGTGACATAAGAGAAAAAAAAAAACAATTTATATTGTTCGTCACAACACATTTTTATGCACTTTTTGTTATTAGAAACCCCAAATGTATGCAACCGCATCGATGAAGTATATTTTCATCAAAGGTTGAGTGTGAACTAATATCAACCTTTCAGATTGCAGATCAGCTTTGTGAGTCTCCGCAGGGTTCATGTTTCCAATTTAGAAGCTTTGGATGTGACTCTTTTTGTGTGTTTGGCTCCTTCCTGGCTAAGCGGTGCCGAGTTTTCACGGTTCAAGATCGCTCTTTCCTGAGATGTTGCCATGACACCTAAAGACTGGTCTGCCGCTAGCAAATGGAAAAAAAAAAAAAAAAAAAAAAAAATATAAATATATAAAAATATATATATATATATATATATATATATATATATATATATATATATAT